GTTTATATGAGCACCCTTGTGTTCATAATTAATCCTTATGATCTTCGAGTTGAGTACGAGTTAAAGACGCATCTGATATGCTGCTAAATTCAAGAGAGGTCTTAATTATATGGAAGGTTCATGCTACGTTTTAAGGATTCGAGCCAAAAGGGCATACACCACCTTCAGACTTTGCTCTCAACCATGCAAGCGCCTAAGTACACACATCACAACACAAAAAGTCAATTCTTTTAATATACAAAACGCAAGTCTCCTTGAGATTTTCAAATTTCATTATAATCCAACTCAATGTACAAGTTCAGATTGTTATTACAATACAAAGTTGAATTACATATTTGGGAATCAAGTTTTGGCTACCAAGCTAATACACAAGTTTTAAAAAAGGAAACAACACAAGGATCCCGTTCATCCGTTCATCTCGCCAACAAAAGAAACTTCCTGTACAAGGCCACCATTTTAGGCTTTGGTTTTCTCTCGCAACACTTTATTCTGTCCACTTGAAGAAATTAGGAGCTTCATGCTTCGGAACAGCAGTGTCACGCACTTTCGCCAATAGTTTCTTCAACGAGTCTTGGTCGTCACCTGCATCAAGCATACATGAGACGAAATGCAGACAACAGCAGTTTGTTTTTGACAACACCAACATTACTTTGGAAAGGTCGGAACTTCCGTAACTGCAAATAGATACAACCTATTCAACATTAGTTGAAGACGAAGATGAGGTCATATTGCATTAAATAATGAATGTGGGAATGGTAAATTCAGTCGGAGAATTTATAAAGAAGAAGTTTATATGAGAATTGAAGATGCACTTACTAAATTGATCGATGAACCTGCTAAGAAACTGCATACTTCACGGAGCAGGAGTGATTAAGCTGCTTTTGATCTCAGACTTCGGTGTCGCGATGCTATTGATGAGATTGTTGCAAGTTTGAGACGGTTTCAGGTTTCTTCCCTTGGGCTGGTTTTGAGTAATTAGGATGCTTTTGTTTCTGGTTACACTCGGCAGCAACGATACCAGCATTCTCAGCGCAGTCACGACGGAGGCATTACCAGCCACTGCAAGAATCTCCTCGCCATCTGCAACAGCACGTCAGCAACAAGCATTTGTCAGCAGCAGCAGGGTGTCGGCTGCGATCATTCCCGCAGCATCCGCAAGCTCTTCAATATCCGCCAGCTCTTCAACATCAGTCGTCAACCAATCACGGCGACACGGCGAAACCTGTCAATATAGCAGCAATGTTTCAGAAGAATTAATTCAAGAAGTTCTTCGCGCCATAGGAAACCAGTTGCAGAAAATGAGAAACTATAGTTAAGCAACAAGAAGCGACTCTTTAATCCAGACTAGTTATGACAGTAAGAATCGCAAACAACCTGAAGTGTTGCCCGTCTTCGAAGAACCAATAGCCACCAGGACAGTTAACCAGCTCTACCTCCTCAGTCTCCAATTAAGGCCACTTACGGTAAAGTTTCTAAGAGCTGGAAACGCGAGCTAACATGGGGCATTGCTTGCGTGTCAATGCTACCTGAAATAAGAGACAGTATGATCAGTTAACACAAGAACGGAGCCTTCACCAATCCGTATCATGTTCATGCTACAAACTATAAATTCACCACAACCTACAGAGAGCACCACAGAAAATCAAGGCATTTTATTAACAAGTGAACTACAGGACTGATAATCTAAAGGAGAGTGAAATTTAACTTCGGCCCTCAGCTCAACTCATCATCGGGCACGAGACTCGAGCAGCCAGGAGGACTATGGCCGTGGCCATTATCAAACTCCCTACCGAGCATCGAAAATCGAAATAAGGCAACTGTTTCGAACAACTCAATGTAATTCGCAAGGCAACTACATCCGACAACCCAATATGGCTCAGACTATTAAGTCGTCATCACCATTATGTCCTTTCTCGCCAATGGCACAAGACCGGCAGCCTCCGAACTTATTTGCACCTGAAAGCAGAAGAGAGAAAATCAGTGTACTTCCCAAACAACGCGAAACTCATCACAAGCGAGCGCAAAGCACTAGAAGCAATAGACGACATTTAGTATACGTAAACAATGTCAAGAGTAACATTGGCAACACCAAGGGCAAAGCAGCACTCGCAACAGCGTAACATCCACGATGTCAATTGCAAACAAGCATCATTACAACGGTAAAGCAATCTCAACCACGCAACCAGCGGTCTCAACATTTAGTCAGCATAACTTGTCAAGGAAACAGAGAAACAAGCCACTCCACGTGAAGAAACTTGCAAGTCCACTACAGCTTAAGGCCCGCTAGCTCTTGTGCCTCATCTATTTCGGGCTGATGTGACCCCTCTGGCCCAAAACAAAATCGTTTTCGCACCTGCAATCACAAAATCGTGGATTAGTAAATTGGTGGGAGGATATTCCACAAGAAGATCCTATCCAAATCCCTAAAACATTGAACCTAGACAGCCAACCTAGTTAACGAGATTAATGAAATTGGAACGAAAAAGGAAATCTTTCCAAATCAGGTCATAACCAAATAGGAAGAATTAATCGGTGTTTCAAAACCCTAAATCAAGATCCAATCTCGTTTTTGAACGAAATCAAGGATTGAAACCAAATCAAACGAAAAAGGAAACACTTCAAAGATTGTCTACACGAGAAAGGAAGGTCCAATCAGTTTTTAAAAACACTTTAAACCAGGTTTCAAAACGTTGATCCTCAGAGGGTCTATATAAGACGGATGGAAATCATCACAGAAAAAAAAAAGGAGTTCGTAAACCTAGAAAATCTGAGCAAGGAGGAACTTATCTTCTCTAATCACCGCAAACCCTTCCCATCGACGAAGCTTCACCTCCGACCGCCGCGAACCCTCTCCGCCGCCGCAAGCGCGCGCCAACCGTCGGTAACCTTCAACTTTCACCTATGTTTTTGAACCATTGATGCTCCGCTTTATTGTTTCAGGTACAAACAGAAAAAACAACGAAAAGGGAAGCCGATCATGATCAGGGAATGGAGAGAGCGAGACCGAGAGAGAGAAACGGAAGCAATGATGAATGGTGATCGGGAGAAGCATAGAGCATCAAAGAAGAACAAAGAGAAACGAGAGGAACGGCGCCGCGATAGGGTTTTGAAACCCTAGTTCCTGTGTCTTTTGTTTATTGATTGCACAACCGGGTTGGGTCCGGATGTAGCTACCGGCCCAACTGTTATTTCTTTTTTTTTCTTTTTTGTTTTTTTAATATTATATAGTGAAAAGTTAATTTGTTTTTTAAATAAAAAATAAAAAAATAAAACTTTTTTTATTAAATTAAACCTCTTTTTGATAGTTAAGTAAAACTTTTCTTTTATTTAAATAAAAAACTCTTTTTAATACAAATTGATCTTTTTAGATTAAAACTAAAACAATTTTCAAAAATAAAAATTAAGATTTTTTTTCAAAATAACAAAGTCTCAAAATTTGCATTTTTTTTCTTCACTGTCTTCGTAATTCACCCGATGACCGTCTGACTTTGCCTACTAACGCGTGTGTTCATTTTTGCAGCTTATTACGTTGTGTTTTTTATTTAAGTTTCATTATTGTTGTAACTGCTTCTCATCTGTAACCTCGCGAACCAACAATCGCGCTTACTTTCCGCATTTTATTCCCGTTTGCATGATTTAAATTCCTCACACTTTCATCACTATTATTTCTGTCACATTACACACTCTGAAGGAATTAGGTCTAGCATTTGACCGCCGTGTCAATAGTCCTCACCTTCAACCCTTACAACTTTTACAAACCCTAATTTTCACAAATGCCTCGCCGCAGGCAAAATTACAATTTTACCCCTAGCATTAGGTCAAAGAGCCGCCGCGCTCATTTTAGGGTTTCCCGCCGCGGAATCCCTAACCTAACCCTAATTACAACTTAACATTTCAACGTAGAGATTTGGAGTTTCTACACTCCACGTAAGCGTGTCCTTAAGATGCGTTTATTCCCCTTGAGACCTTGACCACAGTCAAGAAGTTTCTAACCTCCCTATTGAGGGGAACTACGATTACTCTGATTCCACTCCCGTAAGGATACGTAGGCACAAGATGCGATGTCTTGCCGAGTAAACTTAGAATTAACCCCCTTTATTATTTATTATTGCTTATTTATATTTTATTTATCTTTGCTATTTAATTATTTTGCTTATTATTTTGTAATTGTTTCTTGGATGTAAAGTTGTTGAATTATTTAATTATTATTATGGTTAGTAATTAGGGAGTGTAACAACATGTATGTAATATTAAAATAAATTTAGATCACTTTTAAATAAAGATAATTAAAATAAACACGTCACACACGTAAGTCGATTTTAATCGCCGTCTCACTTCCTAAGGATATCCCTCAAGTTGCCTACGAATAATGGTTAAGTGGGGTGTATAAAGCAAGTCCCTCAAATAAAAAAATCATCAAAGTCCCTTATGGTTGCCTTTACGAATCAAGTCCCTTTCGAAAAATGATGATGGTCCCTTATATGTGCTTATTACATCCCACAATAGCCTTCAAAGTCAAATTGTCCCTCACATACCCCTTAACATCCAAAGTAAGGACTACCTACTCCATTATAGTAGGGATAGTCTTACTAAGGAAAGGATAAAGAATAAGAAAGACCTTAAAACATTAGGGTAGGCTACTCCTAGATACTTGCTCACTTCAAAACTTTTTCACACTTAAACAAATTTCCAACAAAATTTTCAAGCAAGTTTTTTCACATCCATACACGGATTATTATTAAACTATTCTGAAATTTTTTGCTATTCACACACTACACTTTCAAAACAATTCAAAAGTGAGCTTAAGTACCTAAGAGCCCATGGATAACCATGGATGAAAAGGGTGCTAACACCTTCCCTTTTCATAACCTACCCCCCGGACCCAAAATATTCTCTAAGGTCTTTCCTGTTCTTTTATAACCTTTCCTTATGGATAAAATAAAAGTCGGTGGCGACTCTTGCTATCCGCAACATTGTTTAAAGTCAGTTCTCCCACCGTGTTACACATACTTCCAATCATTGTTAATAAAGTGTGCAGTTGGGGTCATGTAACTAAGATTCTGAATGGATGTCCAACAATCAGTGGTTAAGGCTACCCTATTGCAATCAGATTTGAAATAACCTTTCAATCTTACTTTTTCATCAACAAAAAGTTGAAAACAGTCCCTCGCCACAGTCCTCCTCGATGGAATAGTTAATTGGGGTTGTAATTGTTTGCATAGCAACTTAAATCCCTCCCCTTCAACTACTCTAAAAGAATGTTCATCTAGGATCACGAATAGAGCAATAGCCTTTCTACAAGCTGCAAGATTAAATCGTTGGCTTGCAGCAACCAAGCCACCACCCTCTCCACTAGCAAAGGAAAGGGCAGTTTGAGTAGGATCATTTTGTGGCCTCTTGGTGCATATTTTTGTGTGAGCAAGCATGTTAGATGTCCCATGGGATTTTGGATCACACAAATACTTTTTATGACAGTGTTTACAAGCAGCTATTGGTTCAGTTTCATTAGGTAATTTAATAAAGTGGTCCCATGCAGGAGACGATTTCCTAGGACCATTAGCATTTGGTTTTCTTTTCTTTCCAAGTGGAGGAAGCCCAACAACGTGAATTTCAGTTGCAGCAACATCAGTTGCAACAACACCAGATGTTAATGTAGAAGGCTGGTGTTGAGTAACATTCTCCATTGCTGAAAATTAATGAAGATTATAATCAACACACAACCAACATTATTAACTCATTAAGTGTTTAGATGCTTAGTGAAAATAAGTTTTTGGTTGTTGTGGTATATTACACTCTTATGACTTAAGTTCTAAGTACATTTGCTTACATAGTTTTTGGTTGTTGTGGTATATTACACTCATTAATGATAATTTTTAAATTACATTTCCCTTTTAAATAGTTGTTATGCAGTTTTTATGTGAGATATGTTCAGCTTTTGCACTCTTATGACTTAAGTTCTAAGTACATTTGCTTACAAAATCAATAACTTATTGCATTTTGCAGTTCTAAGTACACTCTTAATGCAATAATTTAGTTTTTACTTTAGTTTCTAAACCCAAAGCTCTTAAATTTCTAAACCCAAACTGTTTCTAAACATACATAAAATTCAAATCCAATTTCTAAGCAAAACTGTTATTAACATGTATTACCTGTAGCAGCAGTATGAAACATTTCTTCATTAAGACTTAGTTAATCATAAACTTGTAATATTTTATATCAATATACATACAATCACAAGTATAAGAGGGAATTATTCCTTGGATAGAAACAACTACCAGTATCAAATCCAATAATCCATTTTACATCAAACCTTTTCTAATCCATGGGAAGCATGTTAAGAATAGCAACAGAATCATGACTTGTACAATTTTCTCAACAAATTAAAACTACAGCTTAATGACCTTGGATAGAATCCACCCGCCTATACAATAGCAATGCACGTAACTGAATAGGTTCTACGGGATCGAATCACAAACAACAACAAGCACCATGAAATCGAACCAAAAAAAGGTGACTACAAGCATTAACGAAAAAACTGTGGTTCACCAAAATTGCCACAGATTTGACAAAAAAAATGGCAACAACTTCAGTTGGATAACACAGGAGCTACAATGTCTCATATAACCAATCCAGCAGGAAACAGAAACAAAGCTTGTCACAAACGTAGTCGAAATAGTCATAACCATAACATCATTAAGTAGAAACATATTTAGAAAATAAAATGCAATGCATTCAAGCTCTGCATCACAATAGTAGCAATCCTGTATTTGTGACACATCCATGGAAACACAGGGTGGAATTGCAATATTATTTAATAAGCTATGTCAATACAATCCCAGCAAAAGAAACAAATATTCAACACAAGATAGAATAAGTAATACACACTGACGTTAAGATGAAATAACAATTCAAAGCTGCAACATTCATCTTATGCCGAAACACAATCAAAATTTATGATAATACAAAGACAAAACTCAAACAAACTCATAGTTTAAGACAATACCAAACAATGTTGAAGTGGTTGCCATTACCGCAAATGTCGCTACTGCTGTCTGATTTTGCTGTGTATATTCCTTGGAATTGAGTTGCAGAGTTAGAATTGAACTGAACTCATCAGCAACATTTTCTCTACAATAAAAAACACAAAAAATGGGTAATCTTATGTTCTTCACTAAAGTTCAAAACAAAAACCTGAAAAATGGGTAATCTTACGTTCTAGTAAAGTTCATAACGAAAACGAAAAACGCGAAAACTGCAAATGAAACGAAAGTTGTACTTACATTGGAAAATGGAGAACAGTCGAACGAACTAGACGAATAGCATATTAAGACTAGAATGGAACGAATAGAGACGGCGGCGCAAATTAAAAGGTTCGTTTTTAGGGTTCAGATCAGTCAAGTAGTGAAGATTCTTGAAGCTATTTCCTGTTCACTCTGTGTGAAGAATGAATCTTCATGAAATGTTTAAAATACAGGCGCAAAATGGAACGGAAAGTTGGTATTTAGGGTTTGTATTGTGAAGATTGAAGAAAAGAGAAACAACAAAGTTTTGGAAAGATAGAGTTCAATTGAAATGAAACGAGAATGGAGAGTAAAAACGATGCGTTGAACACTTACAGTCGGGTGGATATGGTTACCGACGGTTTCAATTTGCTGAACCGGGCCCGCCCAGTAGAGGTCATACGAAACCGTATTTTGGACCCGCAAAACCGCCAAACCGTGTGCATCCGGCCCAATTCATTTTTTTAGAATCGGTTGATGCGGGTTGGACCGGTTTTCGGATCCTTGTCCAGCCCTAGTTTGTTCTTTCATTCAATAATTCTTAAATAAATTTACGGTATTTTAATATATATTTTTTTATATTGTGATAGTTTGGTATATAATATTTTAAATAATGGCATTTGAGTAAAAAAAATCTCAAAATTTTGTAGTATGACCTTAAAGTCGTTTAATGCTGCCGCTGGAATTTATTGCTGTGTCCAACAAAAATCATGTGGCGCAGATTTTGAATTCTGTCAGGAGAATAGTTAAAGGTGAGTTTAATAGAAACTTTTATCAAGAACAATTCTGTTGAAGTTAAAATACTTCTTTGGATCCTAAAATTCGTGTGTCGCAAAATGCCAACATAACTTATCAAACAATTAGAGCTGGTGTCACATGTTATCAAAGATATATCGCTATCAAGTTAGATTATGAAGAAAAAAAATGACTTCACATGGAGGAAGGATTGAAGCAAAAATCCAAAAACCTATGATTGTTTATTCGACTGGAATAACATAGGAATATGTTGGACTTTTGCTGTCAAGCATTTCAATTTTATTCTTGGAGCTAAAAATGTATTGGTAGACACTATTAATAATCAGACCTGCCCAAATAATGAATATTATAGAATATTAGATTAAATATGTTTTTTTTCTTATAAATATTTTACATTTCAAGTTTAATTATGATAAAAATATATATATATTGATTGCTACAAAAATTGTATGCATGTTGTTTTGATTCTTGTTAGTTTTTAAAATTTTAAAAGTTATTTAATTACTTTTAAATTTTTAAATTTTTAATAATTTTTTTATATGTATTCAAATTACCATAAAATGTTTTTTTTTTATCAAATTATATAATTTTTAAAAATGAGAAAAATTAAATATGAATTTTTAATATTTTAAAAGATAATTATAAAAGTAACGAAAATCTCTAACTTATAAATCAAAATTTAAAATTCTTTTTATGAATATTTTATAATATTCTAAATATATCGGTAAAATAACTATTACAAAATACACATTAATTTAATAATAGAGATTACAACTACGTGCATAATTATTTTATAAAAATCAAAATATATTATTTTTTTAATTGAAACCAAAAATAAAATTTAATAATTTTATAGAAATAAAAAACCTTACGATTTTTTTTACCATGATACCATAATATTAGAAACAAATTTTCACGATGCCATAATATTTAAAAAATATACAACCATTGAATGGGCAGACCCTGAAAAAAACAACACAATCCCCAATTGGGTACTGTGATAACAAAATTTTATTTATTTATTTATTTATATGCTGACCAACATTAGTATTAATAAATAATATATATTAATCTTAATATATATTATCAATTAATAATTAATATATATTAACTAATATATTTTTAATGACTAAATAATATAATTAATGATTAATCTAATTAATATAATTAATATTAAGAATTATTATATTTTCAATTAATAATTAATATATGTTAATTTGATTTTAATTATTATAAATTAATTTCAAATCATTTAAATTGATTCATATGTATATAATTTTTTATCATTTAAGTGTAGTTTCGTCACTACAATTACCGGATCATTTGAATATTTGATTATTTAAGTGCAGTTGAGTTACTGTAATGGACAGATTTTTTGAATATTTTATTATTTAAATATAATTATGTCAATGCAATAGGCGGATCCTTTGAATATTTTATTATTTAAGTAAAATTTCGTCAGTATAATGAGCGAATCTTTTGAATATTTTATTATTTAAGTACAATGTCGGATCGAATATAAATAGAGGTGTGTTGTGATCTATTTTTTCACATCTATTCTCATTTTCTTGTGATGGTGTTAACATGTATCTGTCGCTACTGCGAAAATCGGCGCCGGCTGAACAGAAGAGTCGCCACCGTGCGTTATTTATCCCAACGGAGGGAAAGGAAACGCTCGAAGTAAACCTACCGCAAAGACGGGAAAGGAATGGTCATCGCAACCAAATCCTGGATTCGGGAGTCGGTTACGCAAGGGGAAGGTATTAGCACCCCTCACGTCCGTCGTACTCGACGGGATCCACGCTTGTTTTCTGTCGAAAGGATTGTATTCTATCTACGCTAAAGGTTAAGGGTTAAAAAAGAAAGAAAAAGGTGACTCGGCAAAGTATCGCACTTTATGCCTACGTATTCCCGTCTGGAACGAGAAATCAGAGTCACGTAGTTCGCCTACCTACGGGAAAGGAGGGGAAGGTTGCTCGCTAGGATATCGCATCCTATGCCTACGTACTTTCATACAGCATGAAAGATCAGAGCAAACGTAGTTCGGGCTACGGAAGAACACAGATTTGTTTGACTGTTTTTTATCCTTCTGAAAAAGGTTTTCTCCTGATCATGGGTCCAAGCGGACAAAAATGACTCTTTGATTGGTTGACAGTCTTTTACGCAAGAACTGTTTTTTATTGATGTTAACCTTTTATTGTCTTTTTGATTGTTTTGAGAAAGAAGAGACAGAACTCTAAAACCTATGGTTGAAAAGGGAATCAAAGCTACCCTAATGTTATCATACATGGATGAGAGCCTAATGTCTGTCATATTCCTCTCTTGCGCAGAGAGAAATAGAGATCCTAAGGGATAAACGGAAAAGCAACAACATATATACAGTAAAGTAGTAAAATGCATGAATGCAGCAGTACAAGCGAGGCAAGGGAGTCCCACTCAACCTCGAACCTAGAAAACAATGGGCAAAGTGAAACAACTTCACCTCAACCCTATGGGAAAATTAACAAACAATACAGTAAAGAAAATAAACCCCAAAAACCCAGCTCTGACAACACACCAACTCTAAAAACAGCAAACTCTGACAGTTGATTAACAACAATCTCCTAATGAACCCCAAAAATCCAACTCTGATGATACCCAAGCTACAA